AGCTATTTGGGAGATTGAGGTGGGAGGGTTGCTTGAGCCCAGGAGCTGGAGGTTACAGTGAGCCTCAATTGTGCCACTGCACTCCAGCCTGGGTAAGGCAGCAAGACTGTTTCAAAAATAAAAGAGAATGTGTGTTTCTAGGAATTTATCCATTTCTTTTACATTGTACAATTTGTTGGTGTATAATTATCCATACTAGTACTTATGATCCTTTTTGTTTCTGTAACATTAGTTGTAATGTCTCCTAAAATTCATATGGAACAACAAGAGACCCAAAGTAGTCAAAGAAATCTTGAGAAAGAACAAAGCTGGAGGCATCACATTTCCTGATTTCAAAATACATTACAAAGCTGCAATAATTTAAAAAGGATGCTACTGGCATAAAGACAGACATTTAGACCAATGAAACAGAATAGAGAGTCCCCCAAAAAACACACACATATGTGGTCAATGGAACTTTGACAAAGGCGCCAAGAATACACACTTGGAAAAGAACAATTTCTCTAATAAATGATGTTGGCAAAACTGGATATCCTAATGTAAAATAATAAATTAGACCCCTATCTTATACCATACACAAAATTCAACCCAAAATGGATGAATTAAATCTATTTAAATTTCTTTAAAAGAATTAATTTGGCTTCTAAGAATTTTACAGTTTCAGTTTCAGTTTACAGTTTTTAGTTTATAGTTTCAGGTCTTACATTTAAAGACACATAAGAAACTGAAACTGTAAGATTCCTAGAAGAAAAAATAGGGGGAAAATTTATTGAGATTGGTTTTAGCCATTATTTCTTGAATATGACACCAAAAGCACAGGCAACAAAGGCAAAAACAGACAAGTGAGACTACATCAAACTAAAACACTTCAACACCGCAAAGGAAATGAACAACAGAACAAAAAGAATGGGAGAAAATATTTGCAAGTCATATATCTGACAATGGGCTAATATTCAAAACGTGGACGAAAATCCTGCTACTTGGCTAGGCATGGTGGCTCACACCTGTAATCCTAGTACTTTGAGAGGCCGAGATGGGTAGATCACAAGGTCAGGAGATTGAGACAATCCTAGCCAACATGAAGAAACTTCATCTCTACTAAAAAAATAAAAATAAAAAATTAGCTGGGTATGGTGGCACATGCCTGTAATCCCAGCTACTTGGAAGGCTGAGGCAGGAGAATCGCTTGAACCAGGGAGTCAGAGGTTGCAGTAAGCCGAGATTGTGCCACTGCATTCCAGCCTGGTGACAGAGCAAGACTCCATCTCAATAAAGAAAAAGAAAAAGAAACTCCTGCAACTCAAAAGAAAATGTGAAACTCAAACTAATTTTAAAATGGGCAAAGGGCTTGAATAGACATTTTTCCAAAGAAGGCATACCAATACTCAATAGTCATCTTAAAAAGGTTCTCAATATCACTAATCACCAGAAAAATGCAAACAAACCCTATAATGAGATATGGTTTTATACCTGTTGAGGATGGCGATTATAAAAAAAAAAGGAAGAAAAAGATAATAAGCATTGGCGAGCTTGTAGAGAAATTGGAACCCTTGTGCACTATTAGTGGGAATGTAAAATGATATACATTATGGAAAATAGCATGGAGATTCCTCAAAAAATGAAAAATGAAACTACCATATGATCCAGCAATCCTACTTCTGGGCATATATCTAAAATAATTGAAACTAGTATCTTGAATCGATATTTGTATTCTCATGTTCATTGTAGCATTATTCATAATAGCTAAGATATGAAAACAACTCAAATGTTCATCAACAGATGAATGGGTAAAGAAAAGGAGGACAGGCACAGTGGCTCAGGTCTGTGAGCCCAGCACTTTGGGAGGCCAAGGCAGGAAGATCATGAATCCAGGAGTTTGAGACTAGCCTGGATTCATGAGAGGAGTTTGAGACTAACAAAGAGAGACCCCATCTCTACAAAAATTAGTCAGCCGTGTTGCTGCACACCTGTAGTCCAAGCTATTCAGTCAGCTGAGGCAGGAGGACTGCTTGGCCCCAGGAGTTTGAGGATGGGTGAGCTATGATTATGGCATTGCACTCTAGCCTGGGCAACAGAGAAATCCCATCTTAAAAATAGGAAAGAAAAAGAAAGAAAATGTGGCTTATTTAGATAATGGAATATTATTTGACCTTAAAATAGAAGGAAATTCTGCCATGTGTGACAACATGGTTGAACCTGAAGGACATTCTATTAAGTGAAACAGCCAATCAAAGAAGGACAAATACCACATGGTTCTATTTATATATGGTATCTAAAACAGTCAAGCTCATGGGAGCAGAGACTAGAATGGTGGTTTTCTGGGGTCAGGGGTAGGGATAAACGGAGAGTTGTTCGATGAGCATAAAGTTTTAGTTATGCAAGATGAGTAAGTTCTAGAGATCTACTGCACAACATAGTGCTTCTGGTTGACAGTATTGTGCACTTAAAATTTTAAGAAGGTTGATCTCATGTCATAAAAAAAAAAAAGAAATAAAAGAAACCAGGTCACTTTTAGAGGTGATGGCTATGTCTAAACCTTTATTGCGATGACAGTTTTATGGGTGTATGCATATGTCCAAACCCATGAAATTGCATATATTAAATATGTAGAGTTTTTTATGTTATGCCTCAATAAAGCTCTTTTTTAAGAAAAGATTCCTCATTTGTATATTGATGAGCAATATATAAAGATTTTTTTTTAAGCAAGGAAAGAAAAAGAACAAAAAAGACCACAGATTTGAGGTCTGCCAGTTTCACTTAAGAATGTTCAAAAAAAATTAACTTTATTAAATGTTGACCCTTGAGGACGTATCTTTTTAATATTCTGTGTGGTGAAATGGAAGTACACAAAGTATGTTTGTCATATACCAAAATATAATGGTTATCTCCAGAAAAAGCACTTGTACAAATGTTTCAGTTGCCAGCTGGCCTAGCCATTTGTTTCATGGGACACCATTTTCACTTTAAGGACTTACATATGAATTATAGCTATTCAGACTTGGGTATTTGGCAGACACTTTCTCAAAAATGTACAAAGTGAGACTATCATTTCAAGGAAAACAACAAACAGTATTTTTTCCAGTGATTAAAATACAAGCTTATAAGTGAAAATCAGAATTTTGGAAAACATATCTACTGTGGTGAATCTGATCGCTTCCCAATACTCAAAGATTTTTCTGATGATATTGGTGGTGATGTTAATTAATGTGATTTTTTGATAGTGTACAATGAAACATCAATTTGGAATACCTGCATAACTCAATGAACTTTTTCTTTTCCCTAAAGACCAATGATGTTACAAAATCACACATAGATAAAAGATGCATTCAAAGAGCAAAAAAGACTAATGGATTTTCATATGTCAGAGTATGAAAATTACTAATATGGTTTCAGTTTCCACATTGCAACTAACCTTTAAAAATCTACCTTTTTTTCAAGTGTTAGTATAGTATAAAGAATATCCATTATTATCTGACAAGGTTATTAAAATACTCCTTCGTTTTCCAACTAAATTTGTGTGAGGTCAGATTTTTTTCATATAGTGTGATCAAAACAAGATGTTATAAGATTGAAAGTAGAAGCAGATCATCTTTGTTGACCAAATATTGAAGAGATTTGCAAAAAGGTATAGCACATACAATTATGTCTAGCATATAACACTTGATAGTAATAATAAACAACTATGTTACTGGCTTATGTATTTACTATATTTTTAATAATTATTTTAGACCGTACTCCCACTTAAAGAAATATCTTAAAGTGACCTGTGAAACAACCTCAGGCAAGTCCTTCAGGAGGTATTCCAGAAAAAGACATTGTTATAGAAGATGACAGCTCCATAAATGTTGCTGCCCCTGAAGACCTTTTGGTAGGACAAGTTGTGAAGGAGGACAGCAGTATATATATATATATATATATATATATATATATATATATATATATATATGAAAGCTTACAGAATAAGGATATAAATAAAATATTTCTGTACAACTTATGACGTGTTTGTATTTTAAGATAGGGGTTATGACAAAAGAGTCAAAAAGTTTTTTAAAAAAATTAAAAGTTCTGGCCAGGTGCGGTGGCTCAAGCCTGTAATCCCAGCACTTTGGGAGGCCGAGGCCGGTGGATCACGAGGTCAAGAGATCTAGACCATCCTGGTCAACATGGTGAAACCCCGTCTCTACTAAAAATACAAAAAATTAGCTGGGCATGGTGGCGCGTGCCTGTAATCCCAGTTACTCAGGAGGCTGAGGCAGGAGAATTGCCTGAACTCAGGAGGTGGAGGTTGCGATGAGCCGAGATTGCGCCACTGCACTTCGGCCTGGGTAACAAGAGCGAAACTCCATCTTAAAAAAAAAAAAAAATTAAAAGTTCTTAAGGTAAAAAAGTTATAGTTAGGCTGGGTATAGTGGCTCATGCCTATAATCCCAGCAACTCGAAAGGCTGAGGTGAGGGGATTGCTTGAGGACAGGAGTTCAAAACTCTGTCTCTACTAAAATACAAAAATTAGCCAGACATAATGGTACACAGCTGTAGTCCCATCTACTCAGGAGGCTGAGGCAGGAGAATCACTTGAACTCAGGGGGCAGAGGTTGCAGTGAGCCAAGACAGTGCTAATGTACTCCAGCCTGGGTGACAGAGTGAGACTCCAGCTCAAATTAATAATAATAATAATAATATAGTTCCTTTAGAGTTGCAAATAGGGTAGGGAAGGCTCTTCCTTTTATGTTTTGGGTCAATTTACCATTTAGGATATTTGTCCCTTAATCACCTACTGAATATATCTGTTAACCAAATACAGTAAATGCTCAATATTTGGAATATTTGTTGAACGATCACTTGAGGAACATAGTATTATACTTCCTTAAGGATATTGATAAGCAAAACATTTTGGTTCTTCAAACCTAGATAGTAGTTGTTTTATCCTAAATAAGTTAAACATTTTTCATAGTCTTATATGTCATGTGTATAGAATAGTTATAATTTTAAAACTGTGGGAATAAGACAAATCAAATTTTCTTTATTTGCTTCCCACCTGGATAATCCAGAATCAAACTTTATTTAGATGTTAGGCTTGTTCTGACACAGACCATCAAAAAACAAATCACTGGAACTTCTCATGTCAGCAAACTCTGGTTGAAAGAATTCCTACAAAGGAAAAATAAATGAATGAAAATATAAACATCTATAGAAAATATAAATGCAAGACAACAAAAAACTTACATAGAGTTACCAATATAGTTTAGCTATGTCCCCACCCAAATCTCATCTTGAATTACAGTTCCCATAATTTCCACGTGATGGGAGGGACCCAGTGCAGGGTAATTGAATCACGGGGGTAGTTACCCTCATGTGGTTCTCATGATAGTGAGTTCTCATGAGATCTGATGGTTTTATAAGGGGCTTTTCCCCCTTTTGCTTGGCACTTCGCTCTCCTGCTGCCTCTTGAAGAAGGACATGTTTGCTTCCACTTCTGCCATGATTGTAAGTTCCCTGAAGCTTCCCCAGCCATGTGAAACTGTGAATCAATTAAATGTCCTTCCTTTATAAATTACCCAGTCTTGGGTAATTCTTCATAGCAGCATGAGAATGAACTAATACCATTGTCATGAGGATCAAAAAGTGAGCAGATGTGTCAGCAAATGTTAGGGGGACTATGACGTTGGCCTAAGGGGTGGAAAAACAGGCAAAAGAGTATAGAGGCTAGGTAAACTAGAAGAGAAAAAAATGAGTAGGTTAAGAACATTAAGGCCTACTCATCAAACCTCCCAAGAACCAGAAAACTAAGGATGTTAAGAAACCAAAAAGATAATCTGCAAGGCAAAAGACAAAAGAAACAGGACTTTTAACTGGGTTCTTCAAGTATTAGGTCAATGAGTTACACATATACTGCATTATACTACTAGACTACTTTGTAAGGCATTGTTAACTCTAACATTAGTATCCAATCAAAACTGTATAATCACATCAGTGATTATACATGGGAGAAGGACCCTGGCTCAATTTTTAGTTCTTTTTTTAAAAAAAATTGTAAGCTCCTTCTAATATTCTCAATTTAGAAAATCTTGGGAAAACTGAGCTGCAGCCCATTCTTCCACACGTTCTTTTCAGAAGAGAACAGACAAGGAGTAAATAACAGCAATACATGATCACTCTCCAGAGGCCTTACTTCTTAGGAAACTGTGCCATTCAAAAGGGAGGCAAGGCTCTCCACCTCATTGATTTATTAGTGGGGCATGTTATATGTGTAGTATTCTGTGTATGTGTGCATGGATGCATGTACATGAATGAGGGTGTTAGGAGGACATATGTGGGACCAGCCAACTCTCAGATTACAACGTACCTTGAACCTATCAGCAGCAGGATGTAAACACTCACATGGATGCTGTTACTCTGGAAAAGAGATGAAGTTTTATGCATATATGTTAGTATGTTAGTCTTTCCTCCTCAGCAGAGGAGAGGAACAGAGACAGAGAGGGGAAGGGGACACACACACACACACACACACACACACACACACACAGAAATTCTCCTAAGTTGGGGGCCAGAACAGGGTGGAGCGGTCGGTCTGTACCCCTTCCTCCCTGTACATTCTCAATGGCCAGGTAAGAGGCAGAACTCCAACAATAGGAAAGAAAGAACTGAAGATAGACTACACTGGGAACTCACTCTGGCTGCTGTGGGCAGACATATTCTTTTTCAAAGACATAGTTGAAGCACTAGGCTTAAAATTTGTGAGAGGTTGCAAGCCTGCATAAAAATAAAAGAGGTAAGATAAACAGTAAAGTAAATATTGTCAAAGTCTTCTAAAATTAGTCTGTGATAGAAGATAAAAAAGTAACCTTATAAGCAAAAAGCAAAATTTACCTGCAATTAACTTTTTTTCTAGTTCTTCTTGGATCTTAAGAAGAATTCTCTCCTGTTCTAAGGCTTCTATATACTTTGAGTAGCACCAGGTTGGCTAAAAAAAGCAATTTTCAAAGTTAATTTTGAATTGTTTGGCTTAGGAAATAAACTGAAGGTAAGATGTCTTCTATCAGCCTCTTCATTTAAATTTTATTAACATATAACACACATAAAGGAAAGTGAGTATCACAAGTTTATAATGTTATGAATTCTCACCTACTGAACATATGTACCCATGTCACCTTTTAACTGTGCACCACAAATTATCATCAACCTACCTTAATCTGTTTTCACATAAATTTTATGATAAGGTAAATGTATTTTCTTCTATAGCCTTGACAAAATTACTAAATTCCCTGGTTCAAAGGGAGGAGGTGGGGCGGGGACATGAGGGTAGTTGATATACTATTTCTCAGTGAATCAATGTCAACAAAAGTTGTATAGATATCTTGACATCTCTTCAATCATCTTTATATAGTCAATTTGATTGGAAATTTAGTGCTTATAAAATATCTTTATATATTCAATTTTACTGTAAATTTAGTGTTGAAGAAAGATCCAAGTTTTAGGGGGAGGGGAATTTTGCATTTGGATTCATCATAATTCTTCAATGTTCAAAATCTATCTAAAACTAATGCATATACAATTAGCCCTTCACACCCACACATTATACATCTGCATATTAAACCCAACTGCAGATCAAAAATATTTTTAAAAATCAACAAAAAAATTATATAAATAAAAAAATACAGTATAACAACTATTTACATAGCATTTACTTATGCTATAGTATAACACTTAGATAATATAAGTAATCTAGAGATGATTCGAAGTATATGGGAGGGTGTGGATAGGTTATATGAAAATACCATGCCATTTTATATCAGGGACTTAAGTATCTTCAGATTTTGGTGTCTGCAAGTGGTCTTGGAACCAATCCACAGTGGATACTAAGGAACATTTACATTTACAAAATGTCAGTGTATTATTACTTTACAAATTGCTAAAGTAATTCAACATGTATACTTTATTTATTTATTTTTTTTTAATTGCGTTTTAGGTTTTGGGGTACATGTGCAGAACATGCAAGACAGTTGCATAGGTACACACATGGCAGTGTGTTTTGCTGCCTTCCTCCCCTTCACCCACATTTGGCATTTCTCCCCATCTATCCCTCCCCAGCTCCCCCTCTGCTGTCCCTCCCCTATTCCCCCCAATAGACCCCAGTGTGTAGTTCTCCCTTCCCTGTGTCCATGTGTTCGCATTTTTCATCACCTGCCTATGAGTGAGAATATGCGGTATTTCATTTTCTGTTCTTGTGTCAGTTTGCTGAGAATGACGTTCTCCAGATTCATCCATGTCCCTACAAAGGACACGAACTCATCATTTTTGATTGCTGCATAATATTCTATGGTGTATATGTGCCACATTTTCCCAGTCCAGTCTATCATCGATGGGCATTTGGGTTGGTTCCAGGTCTTTGCTATTGTAAACAGTGCTGCAATGAACATTCGTGTACATGTGTCCTTATAGTAGAACGATTTATAGTCCTTTGGATATATACCCAGTAATGGGATTGCTGGGTCAAATGGAATTTCTATTTCTAAGGCCTTGAGGAATCGCCACACTGTCTTCCACAATGGTTAAACTAATTTACACTCCCACCAACAGTGTAAAAGTGTTCCTATTTCTCCACATCTTCTCCAGCATCTGTTGTCTCCAGATTTTTTAATGATCGCCGTTCTAACTGGCGTGAGATGGTATCTCAATGTGGTTTTGATTTGCATCTCTCTGATGACCAGTGATGATGAGCATTTTTTCATATGTTTGTTGGCTTCATGTATGTCTTCTTTTCTAAAGTGTCTGTTCCTATCCTTTGCCCATTTTTGAATGGGCTTGTCTGTTTTTTTTCCTGTAAATCTGTTTGAGTTCTTTGTAAATTCTGGATATCAGCCCTTTGTCAGATGGGTAAACTGCAAAAATTTTTTCCCATTCTGTTGGTTGCCGATTCACTCTAGTGACTGTTTCTTTTGCCATGCAGAAGCTGTGGAGTTTGATTAGGTCCCATTTGTCTATTTTGGCTTTTGTTGCCAATGCTTTTGGTGTTTTGGTCATGAAGTCCTTGCCTAGCCCTATGTCCTGAATGGTTTTGCCTAGATTTTCTTCTAGGGTTTTTATGGTGCCAGGTCTTATGTTTAAGTCTTTAATCCATCTGGAGTTAATTTTAGTGTGAGGTGTCAGGAAGGGGTCCAGTTTCTGCTTTCTGCCCATGGCTAGCCAGTTTTCCCAACACCATTTATTAAACAGGGAATCCTTTCCCCATTGCTTGTTTTTGTCAGGTTTATCAAAGATTGTATGGTTGTAGATATGTTGTGTTGCTTCTGATGCCTCTGTTCTGTTCCATTGGTCTGTATCTCTGTTTTGGTACCAGTCCCATGCTGTTTTGATTACTGTCGCCTTGTAGTATAGTTTGAAGTCCGGTAGTGTGATGCCTCCTGCTGTGTTCTTTTTGCTTAGAATTGACTTGGCTATGCGGGCTCTCTTTTGGTTCCATATGAAGTTCATGGTGGTTTTTTCCAGTTCTGTGAAGAAAGTCAATGGTAGCTTGATTGGGATAGCGCTGATTCTGTAAATTACTTTGGGCAGTATAGCCATTTTCACAATACTGATTCTTCCTAACCATGAACATGAAATGTTTCTCCATCTGTTTGTGTCCTCTCTTATTTCGTTGAGCAGTGGTTTGTAGTTTTTCTTGAAGAAGTCCCTTACGTTCCTTGTGAGTTGTATTCCTAGGTATTTTATTCTTTTTGTAGCAATTGTGAATGGTAGTTCGTTCTTGATTTGGCTCTCTTTAAGTCTGTTATTGGTGTAGAGGAATGCTTGTGATTTTTGCACACTGATTTTATATCCTGAGACTTTGCTGAAGTTGCTTATCAGTTTCAGGAGTTTTTGGGCTGAGGCGATGGGGTCTTCTAGGTATACTATCATGCCGTCTGCAAATAGAGACAATTTGGCTTCCACCTTTCCTGTTCGAATACCCTTTATTTCTTTTTCTTGCCTGATTGCTCTGGCTAGAACTTCCAGTACTATATTGAATAGGAGTGGTGAGAGAGGGCATTCTTGTCTAGTGCCAGATTTCAAAGGGAATGCTTCCAGTTTTTGCCCATTAAGTATGATATTGGCTGTTGGTTTGTCATAAATAGCTTTTATTACTTTGAGATACATTACACCAGTACTGAGTTTATTGAGGGTTTTTAGCATAAAGGGCTGTTGAATTTTGTCAAAGGCCTTCTCTGCGTCAATTGAGATAATCATGTGGTTTTTGTTTTTGGTTCTGTTTATGTGGTGAATTACATTTATAGACTTGCATATGTTGAACCGGCCTTGCATCCCCGGGATGAATCCTACTTGATCATGATGGATAAGTTTTTTGATGTGCTGTTGCAGTCGGTTTGCCAATATTTTATTGAAGATTTTTGCATCTACGTTCATCATGGATATTGGCCTGAAGTTTTCTTTTCTTGTTGAATCTCTGCCGGGTTTTGGTATCAGGAGGATGTTGGTCTCATAAAATGATTTGGGAAGGATTCCCTCTTTTTGGATTATTTGGAATAGTTTCAGAAGGAATGGGACCAGCTCCTCTTTGTGTGTCTGGTAGAATTTGGCTGTGAACCCATCTGGACCTGGGCTTTTTTTGTGTGGTAGGCTCTTAATTGCTGCCTCGACTTCTGACCTTGTTATTGGTCTATTCATAGTTTGGGCATCCTCCTGGTTTAGGCTTGGGAGGACACAGGTGTCCAGGGATTTATCAATTTCTCCCAGGTTTACTAGTTTATGTGCATAGAGTTGTTTGTAATATTCTCTGATGATGGTTTGAATTTCTGTGGAATCTGTGGTAATTTCCCCTTTATCATTTTTTATTGCATCTATTTGGTTGTTCTCTCTTTTCTTTTTTATCAGTCTGGCTAGTGGTCTGTCTATTTTGTTGATCTTTTCAAAAAACCAGCTCTTGCATTTATTGATTTTTTACAGGGTTTTTCATGTCTATATCTCCTTCATTTCTGCTCTGATCTTAGTTATTTCTTGTCTTCTGCTAGGTTTTGAGTTTTTTTTATCTTGCTCCTCTAGCTCTTTCAGTTTTGATGATAGGGTGTCAATTTTGGATCTCTCCACTCTTGAAAAGAAGAGTGGCACTTATTGCTACATATTTTCCTCTAGAGACTGCTTTAAATGTGTCCCAGAGATTCTGGTATGTTGTGTCTTCGTTCTCATTGGTTTCGAAGAACTTCTTTATTTCTGCCTTCATTTCATTGTTTATCCAGTCAACATTCAAGAGCCAGTTGTTCAGTTTCCATGAAGCTGTGCGGTTCTAAGTTAGTTTCTGAATTCTGAGTTCTAACTTGATTGCACTATGGTCTGAGAGACTGTTTGTTATGATTTCAGTTGTTTTGCATTTGCTGAGGAGTGCTTTACTTCCAATTATGTGGTCAATTTTAGAGTAGGTGTGATGTGGTGCTGAGAAGAATGTATATTCTGTGGATTTGGGGTGGTGAGTTCTGTAAATGTCTATCAGGATTGCTTGTTCCAGGTCTGAGTTCAAGCCCTGGATATCATTGTTGATTTTCTGTCTGGTTGATCTGTCTAATATTGACAGTGGAGTGTTAAAGTCTCCCACTATTATTGTGTGGGAGTCTAAGTCTCTTGGTAAGTCATTAAGAACTTGCCTTATATATCTCAGTGCTCCTGTATTGGGTCCATATATATTTAGGATCATTAGATAATCTTGTTGTATTGATCCTTTCACCATTAAGTAATGACCTTCTTTGTCTCTTTTGATCTTTGTTGCTTTAAAGTCTATTTTATCTGGGACAAGAATTGCAACTCCTGCTTTTTTTTGCTCTCCATTTTCTTGGTAAATCTTCCTCCATCCCTTTATTTTGAGCCTTTGTGTATCCTTGCATGTGAGATGGGTTTCCTGGATACAGCACACCAATGGGTTTTGGCTTTTTATCCAATTTGCCAGTCTGTGTCTTTCTTTTTATCCAATTTGCCAGTCTGTGTCTTTTGATTGGTGCATTTAGTCCATTTACATTTAGGGTTAATATTATTATGTGTGAATTTGATACTGCCATTTTGATGCTAGCTGGCTGTTTTGCCCGTTAGTTGATGCAGATTCTTCATTTTGTTGATGCTCTTTAGCATTTGGTATGTTTTTGGAATGGCTGGTACTGGTTGTTCCTTTCTATGTGTAGTGCCTCTTTCAGGAGCTCTTGTAAAGCAGAACTGGTGGTGACAAAATCTCTGAGTACTTGCTTGTTCGCAAAGGATTTTATTTTTCCTTCACTTCTGAAGCTCAGTTTGGCTGGATATGAAATTCTGGGTTGAAAGTTCTTTTCTCTAAGGATGTTGAATATTGGCCCCTACTCTCTTCTGGCTTGTAGAGTTTCTGCCAAGATATCTGCTGTGAGTCTGATGGGCTTCCCTTTGTGGGTGACCCAACCTTTCTCTCTTGCTGCCCTTAGTATTTTATCCTTCATTTCAACCCTGGTGAATCTGACGATTATGTGCCTTGGGGTTGCTCTTCTTGCAGAATATCTTTGTGCTGTTCTCTGTATTTCCTGGACTTGAATATTAGCCTGCCTTGCTAGGTTGGGGAAATTTTCCTGGATAATATCCTGAAGAGTATTTTCCAGCTTAGATTCATTCTGTTTGTTGCATTCTGGTACACCTATCAAACGTAGGTTAGGACTCTTCACATAGTCCCACATTTCATGGAGACTTTGTTCATTCCTTTTTGTGCTTTTTTCTCTAATCTTGGTTTCTCATTTTATTTCATTGAGTTGATCTTCGACTTCTGATATTCTTTCTTCTGCTTGGTCAATTCAGCTGTTGAAACTTGTGCTTGCTTCGTGAAGTTCTCGTGTTGTTTTTCAACTCCTTCAATTCATTCATATTCCTCTCTAAGTTGTCCATTCTTGTTATCATTTCCTCAAATCTTTTTTCAAGGTTCTTAGTTTCTTTGCATTGATTTAGAACATGATCTTTTAGCTCACAGAAGTTTCTCATTATCCACCTTCTGAAGTCTAATTCCGTCATTTCGTCACACTCATTCTCCATCCAGCTTTGTTCCCTTGCTGGTGAGGAGTTTTGGTCCTTTGTAGGAGGTGAGGTGTTTTGGTTTCGGCTGTTTTCCTCCTTTCTGTGCTGGTTTCTTCCCATCTTTGTGGATTTATCCACCCGTTGTCTGAGTAGTTGCTGTCTTTTTGATTGGGTCTCTGAGTGGACGCCCAGATTGTTGATGCTGAAGTATTTCTGTTACTTAGTTTCCTTCTAACAGTGTAGCCCCTCTGCTGTACTACTGCTGAGGTCCACTCCAGGCCCTGCTTGTCTGGGGTACCCCTGTAGCAGCTGCGGAACAGTGAGGGATGCTACCAGTTTCTTCTTCTGCTATCTTTGTCCCTGAATGATGCCTGCCAAATGTCAGTCTGATCAGTCCTTTTTGAGGTGACTCTCTAGATATACAGGGGTCAGGGAGCTGCTTGAGGAGACAGTCTGCACTTTATAGGAGCTCAAGTGCTGAGCTGTGAGCTCCATTGATCATTCAGGGCTGTTAGGCAGGTGTGTTTAAATCTGCTGCAGCAGAACTTATAAAACCCCTTGTTTTCCTCAGATGCTCTGTCTCAGGGAGTTAGGGTTTTTTTTATGAGTATCCATTGCACTGTCCTGCCCAGCTAGGAGGCAGTCTAGTCACTATTTGCCTGCCGAGGCTCTGCCCTGCTACTGCAGGGTCCACCCTGTTGCCGTGGGCTTCGCCCTGCTGTCGTGGGCTCCGCCCTGTTGGCAGAGTCTCTCTGTTGTCGCGGGTTGCCTCAGCAACGGCAGGATGCATCAGCAATGGGAGTGTACCTCAGTAGGGGCGGAATGCCTCAGTAATGGCGGACGCCCCTCCCCCACCAAGCTGCACCGTCCTGGATTCAGCTGTGCCTGCAGTGAAACTCTCAACCCCAAGCGTTTTGAATTGCTGTTTTGTTTGTCCCTGTGGGGGTGGGACCCACTGAGCCTGATCACCTGGCTCCCTGCGTCAGAGCCCTTTCTCTTTTTTTTTTAAGTTGAATGGTTGACTCTCTTCCAGGTGTTTCAGTCGCCCTCTGTGTCTTCACTGAGAGCTGCAATCCTGAGTTGCTTCTACCGTGCCATCTTTGTTGTCCCCAACATGTATACTTTAAATGGAAATCATAATAAGCTGCATTTGTATTTATCAAATATCTTTGGTTTCCAAAAGCTTTTTAGTTTCCTACAAAAATCTTGAATATGACAAGACTTCATCATCATCATCACCACCACCATCATCATCCCTTTCTCTCTCTTTTTAACACATAAGGTAAGAGGCTCAAAGGAAATTATGTGATTATTTCCAGGCTTCATGGTAATACTGACTTGTGATAAAACAAAAATGAGAAGCCTGTTAGCTCACACCTTGGGAGCACTTTGGGAGCCTTAGGTGGGATGATTACACGAGCCCAGGAGTTTGAGACCAGCCTAGGCAACATGGTGAAACCTCATCTCTACAAAAAATACAAAAAATTAGCCAGGCATGCTGATGTGCACCTGTAGTCCCTACCCTCCCTTTGGGAGGCTGAGGTGGGAGGATTGCTTGAGTCTAGGAAGTTGAGGCTGCAAAGAGCCCTTGCACCCTTTAACCTACAAAGAGTTCTCGCACCACTGCACTCCAGCCTGGATGACAGAGCAAGACCCTGTCTCAAAAAAAGAAAAGAAGCCAGTATCTCTAATGACATTTTCCCCTTTTACTCTGTGTTTCTCAAATTTAGTGATAGTCATTTGCTGATGAATGTATTTCTGAATGGTATTATTTATTAGATATCATATGCTTTTAGATATCTCTTTCAGTATACAGTTACACAAAACTGGATATTTCTCATCTCTCAATAATAGCTTCATAGTTGGGCAGTTATCTTAGCTGGGTAACTGAACTTATTTGACATTTCTAAATGCCAAAAAGATTGTTTCTTGAGTTAGTATTATCCTAAGATACAAATGCTTTCAATACAAGTCATCAAAAACAGACATAAATTAAACATGAAATTTCAGGGAAGTGACAGTAATGTACTAGTTATAAATGTAAATGTAAACACAGAAACCACAATGTATTGGTTGGTGCTCATGTATGGCTAATTTTATGACTACTTCAAAGAATTTAAAATTTGAAATTAAGCATTTGACATTCTTCTGTCATCTTTTAACCCAAGAATATAACATTCTATATATATTCTATCTTGTTCTATTATACTGTATCTGTCTTATTTTCTTTTCAAATAAGATGATCATTTCAATGTCTGCAATTTAAGTCTTTATGTATCTCAAGAAGTTATTTTTCTTGATTATACTATCTGGGATTGGCTGAAATTTTAATGCTCTCTGAAGGCTCAAAGAAAAGCCCTTCAATCTCTCCTACTATTATAATTCTAGGCTTATTTTCAAACAAGCACATTTCTAGTACTGTACAATGACTGAGTTACTGCATTCCACTATCCAATGCTCTATAGGAGAAATGAGGTCTGCACCATCTTCCCTGCTTACCTGTTGGCCATATGCTAGGAGGCCTAGGAAGGAATCACTGAGTAAAGCAGTTTTGATATCAGCCACTGAAGTATCTGCATACTGTTTGATTCTATCCTGTAATTATATTAAATTAAATTATTCCCCAAAAAACATAATGCTATGTTAACATAAACTTATGGTTAAGGAGTTGTAACATCATATCACATAATATTTCATAGTGGGTGCTGCACCTGAGGTTTCACCAAGTCAATATCACTAATGTGACAGAGTTTCCTGTTTTTATTTTTAATTTTATTTCATAATATAAAAATACTTTAAAATAAATGAGAGAAATGGTTAAGTTGAATGTAAATATCATTCCCAAATTCTGGAATCCAAGAAAAACCACTATTAACATTTTCATGAACATCCATCCATATTTCTCACTAGGGAAAATCCATGGATACATAATTTTAATCTTTTTTATTATACAAATTTTATACAAATACAATCTATATTTGTTATTTTTAAATCTGCATTTTTCATGTAGAATATCTTGTGAAAATGTAAATAAATATAGAACTGGAATTTATGCTGGGCCTTTGTATTATTTCCCAGTGTTTATCTGCTGTGGAACAGTGTCTGCCACATAGCATGCACTCAAATATTTGTTGAATGATGAAATTAATAAATTACATCACCATTTTCAGTCGATGAATGATCTTATGCACTAAAAGGTTTGTTGAATGATAAAATGAATAATTTTATCATCACTTCAACAGGTAATATTCTAGAGAAAGTATATACCATAGATAATTAACAACACTCATTAGAAATTCAGGTCATTTTCTTCATCAGAAACAGAAAGTAAAAAACTACATGTTCTCACTTATAAGTGAGAGCTAACTGATGGATACACACAGATCTGCAGAGTGAAATAATAGACACTGGTGACTCCTAAAAGTTGGGAGCATGACGGGCAGGTGAAGGATGAAATACAACCTGTTGGGTACAATGTACACTATTTGAGTGATGAGTATACATCAAAGCCCAGTCTTCACTACATACAACATATCCATGTAATACATCTACCTAAATCTATACAAATAAAAAATTAATAAAATTAATTTAATAAGAGAAAAAAGCTTACTCAAACTTAAGAGGAAAGCAATAAACAGGAAAACATATATGAAGTAACTATAACATAACAGAACCATGTATAAGTGTATTTCATTAATATAAACCTTTAAGAAAAACAAGCCAACAGATGAGTAAAGAGACACCACAGATACTTCCCCAAAGAGGAAATACTACTGCTTAACAAACATGAACAATTTTTTTAATACCTACTAATCAAAGTCATGAAAATAAGAAGAACATTTCATGCCTTTCAAATTAGTCTTTAAAAATGGTAATATGAGAGTTTCAATGTATAAATTTTGATGAACACAAACGTAGTCCATACCAACTACTTTTCATTTCTACAACTTCATTATCTGAAACAGCAACTCTGTACCCATTAAATAATAACTTCTCCCTGCCTCCTATCCCCAGACTCTGGCGACCTCTATTTTATTTTCTGTTTCTGTGAATTTGACAATTTTAGGTACCTCATCTGGCAAAAGGGCTGAAGAGGAACAGCTCTGGTCTGCAGCTCCCAGCGAGACCAACACAGAAGGTGGGTGATTTCTGCATTTCCTACTAAGGTACCTGGTTCATCTCACTGGAACTGGTTAGACAGTGGGTACAGCCCATGGAGGGTGAGCAGAAGCAGGGTGGGGCATTGCCTCACCTGGAAGTACAGTAGTTGGGGAACTCCCTCCCCAAGCCAAGGGAAGCTGTGAGGGACTGTGCTGTGAGGAATGGTGCACTCTGGCCCAGATACTATGCTTTTCCCACAGTCTTCACAACCTATAGACCAGGAAATTCCCTTGGGTGCCTATGCCACCAGGGCCCTGGGTTTAAAGCACAAAACTGGGTGGCTGTTTGGGCAGACACTGAGCTAGCTGCAGGAGTTATTTTTTTTTTGTACCCCAGTGGCACCTGGAACACCAGCAAGACAGAAGCATTCATTCCCGAGAAATGGGGCCGAAGCCAGGGAGCAAGTGGTCCTGCTCAGCAGGTCCCACCTTCATGGAGACCAGCAAGGTAAGATCCATCTCGCTGCCAGCCCAGAGTCTGAAGTCAACCTGGGACTCTTGAGGTTGGTGGAGGGTGGGGTGTCCACCATTACTGAGGCTTGAGTAGGCAGTTCTCCCCTCACAGTATTGAGGAAGCCTCTGGGATGTTTGGACTGTGGGGAACTCACCAGAGTGTGACAAAGCAGCTGTGGCCAGACTGTATCTCTAGATTCCTACTCACTTGGCAAGTCATCTCTGAAAGAATGGCAGCAGCCCCAGTCAGGGGCTTATAGATAAAACTCCCATCTACTTGGGACAGAACACCTGTGGCTATGGGTGCAGCTTTATCAGACTTAAATGTTCCTGCCTGCTGGCTATGACGAGAGCAATGGATCTCCCAGCACAACACTTGAGCTCTGCAAAGGGGCAGATTGCCTTCTCAAGTGGGTTCCTGACCCGTGTGCCTCCTGACTGGGAGACACCTGCCAGCAGGGGTTGACAGACACCTCACACAGGAGAGGTCCAGCTGGCATCAGGCAGGTGCCTCTCTGGGACAGGCTTCCAGAGGAAGGAGCAGGCAGCAATCTTTGCTGTTCTGCAGCCTCCACTGATGATACCCAGGCAAACAGGCCTGGAGTGGACCTCCAACAAATCCCAGCAGACCTGCAGAAGAGGGACCTGAGTGTTAGAAAGAAAACTAATAAACAGAAAGTAACAGCATCAACATCAACAAAAAGGGCACCCACAGAAAAACTCCACTGAAAACCATCAGAGATTAAAGGTAGATAAATCCAAGAAGATGAGAAAAGAATGATGCAAAAATGCTGAAAATTCCAAAAACCAGAATGCCTCTTCTCCTCCAAATAATCGCAACTCCTCTCCAGCAAGGGCAAAAAACTGGATGGAGAATGAGTCTGACAAACTGACAGAAGTAGGCTTCAGAAGGTGGGTAATAACAAACTCCTCTGAGCTAAAGGAGCATGTTCCAATGCAAGGAAGCTAAAAACCTTGATAAAAGGTTGCAGGAACTGCTAAGTAGACTAGTTTAGAGAATAACATAAATGACCTGATGGAGCTGAAAACACAGCACAAGAACTTTGTGATGCATACACAAATATCTATAGCCAAATTGATCAAGAAGAAGAAAGGAAATCAAAGATCGAAGATCAAGTTAATGAAAAAGCATGAAGAAAAGATTAGAGAAAAATGAATGAAAAGAAATAAAGAAAGCTCCAAGAAGTATAGGACTGCATGAAAAGAGCAAACCTATGATTGATTGGTGTACCTGAAAGTAACAGGGAGAATGGAACCAAGTTGGAAAACACACTTCAAGATACTATCCAGGCGAACTTCTCCAACCTAGCAAAACAGACCAACCATTCAAATTCTTGAAACACAGAGGCAGCCACTAAGATACTCCTTGAGAAGAACAACCTCAAGACACATAATTCTCAGATTCCCCAAGGTTGAAATGAAGGAAAAACAAGTTAAGGGCAGCCAGAGAGAAAAATTGGGTTACCCAGAAAGGGAAGCCCATCAGACTAACAGTGAATCTCTCTGCAAAAACCCTACAAGCCAGAAGAGACTGGGGGCCAATATTTAACATTCCTAAAGAAAAGAATTTTCAACCTAAAATTTCACATCCAGCCAAACTAAGCTTCCTGAGTGAAGGAGAAATAAAATATTTTACAAACAAGCAAATGCTGAGGGATTTTGTCACTACCAGGCCTGCCTTACAAGAGCTCCTGAAGGAAGCACTAAATATGGAAAGGAAAAACCAGTACAAGTCACTGCAAAAACATACCAAAGTATAGAGACCAACAACACCATGAAGAAACTACATCAACTCATGTGCATAATAATCATCTAGCATCATGATGACAGGATCAAATTCACACATAATAATATTAACCTTAAATGTAAATGGGCTATGTGCCCCAATTAAAAGACACAAACTGGCAAACTGGATAAAGAGTCAAGACCCATTGGTGTGCTGTATTCAGGAGACCCATCTCATCTGTAATGACACACACAGGCTCTAAATAAAGGGATGGAAGAATGTTTACCAAGCAAGTGGAAAGCCAAAAATAAAGTAGGGGTTGCAATCCTAGTCTCTGATAAAACAGACTTTAAACCAACAAAGATAAAAAAAAAGACAAAGTAGGGGATTACATAGTGTAAAGGGATCAATGCAACAAGAAGAGCTAATTATCTGAAATATCCTAAATATATATACACCCAATACACAGATTCATAAAGCAAGTTCTTGGAGACCTACAAAGAGACTCAGACTCCCACACAATAATAGTGGGAGACTTTAACACCCCACTGTCAATATTAGACAGATCAATGAGACAGAAAATTAACAAGGATACTCAGGACTTGAACACAGCTGTGGACCAAGTGGATGTAATAAACATCTGTAGAACTCTCCAGCCCAAATCAACAGAATATACATCTTTCTCAGCATTACATAGAACATATTCTAAAATCCATAATATAATTGAAAGTAAAACACTCCACAGCAAATGCAAAAGACAGAAATCACAACAGTCTCTAAGAGCACAGTACAATCAAATAAGAAATCAGGATTAAGAAACTCAGTGAATCACCAGCAAGGGAACAAAGCTGGACGGAGAATGACTGTGACGAAATGACGGAATTAGACTTCAGAAGGTGGATAATGAGAAACTTTTGTGAGCTAAAAGAACATGTATTAAATCAATTCAAAGAAACTAAGGAACTTAAAAAAAGATATGAGGAAATGATAACAAGAATGGATAACTTAGAGAGGAATATGAATGAATTAAAGGAGCTGAAAAACACAATACGAGAACTTCGCGAAGCATGCACAAGTTTCAATAGCTGAATTGACCAAGCAGAAGAAAGAATATCTGAAGTCGAAGACCAACTCAATGAAATTAAACGAGAAACCAAGATTAGAGAAAAAAGCGCAAAAAGGAATGAACAAAGTCTCCAAGAAATGTGGGACTATGTGAAAAGACCTAACCTACG